ATAGCCTAAATTTACAATGAAGTGATGTGGTCGAGTAAGTGCTGCTGTTGGGCTCGCTCGTCCGGTTCCACTCATTCTCCTTCTCCAACTTAACCCAACCCAGACCAACCCAACCCAACCCAACCAGACCCATGCCAACGTCGCCCGACCCAACTCAATTCAACCCGACCCAAACCAACCCAACTCAGCCCATCCCATCCCATCCCATCCCCTCCCCTCTCCTCCCCTCCCCTCCCCTCCCCTCCCCTTCCATTCCATTCCATCCCATCCCATCCCATCCCCTCCCATCCCACCCCATCCCAACCGAACTTTCCTCCTCGATTAAGGGCCGGTTGTGGTTTTTAGGAGCGCTGATAAAATCCGGTGGTGGCGCAACAACGAGCAAGAGTGGAAACGGCAGTGTCCCATTGACTGACCGACAGCCGCAACAGGGACCGCCGGCAAGCCCTTCGGTTGACAAGGGACTTCAAGCAAAGCTCTTCGACTTTGCAATGAAGTGCTAGACGGCCATCAATTGTGAGTGCGCAATATCCGTCAGCAGTATTTCCGTCAGCAGCAGTTTCGGGAGCAGTAAACTCTCTTCTAAACTGCCCAAGAGTTTGTGAATATCTGACAGTTCCGGGAACAGCAAACTCTCTACTAAACTACCGAAGAGTTTGAAAATATCTGACAGTGTCGGGAACAGCAAACTCTCTACTAAACTCTCTCTACTAAACTCTTTCTACAAACTCTCTACTACATTATGCCGGATCATGCGGCCGCTTGATGGCTATTTGTCATGTCGTGATGGTGTTTAATATTGATGCTTCGTGCAGTTACGACATGATAACATCAGAAAACCACTTTGCGCCTGCGAGGCGGCCCCCGCACATTACGTACGGCGGGCCGACCAGCGCCGGTCGGAAACGATGGGAATAATCATGCTGCAAGTTTCACCGCCCTCGTCGGTGGAACTTCACATTGCCTGTCATCTGACGGAGGAGCTACACATTTCTGCTATCTGGCGCAGACGCCAGCGGTATTCTTGATGAGCATGGCTGCCGATGTACAGTGAACGGTGAGCCAATAGCTTTCAGTGCCATCGCCCAATAATTTTGGAGGATTGTTTGCGCTGTCACCCAGGCAGAGTGAGCATTTGTATTGTCAGCTTATTGCTTCCCCACCACTTACTGAAGTTTGAGTTCCTGTGCTGGCATTAGTCGGATACCAATACAACGGGAAATGCTCTTTATGCGACGTTGTCAAGCGAACATTAGTTATATTGTTAGAACTCTTTAAGTTTATTCAGGAGTCTTTTCAGCTTGTGGCGGGCATTTTGACAATTCGAAACCGCTCTTACCAGTGGAGAGTCATTCTGGTCTCTCAAAGAGCCCCCGGGGTGTTGAGATGCCCCGCTGGCCGCTCAGAGGCCCCATGGACCACTCAGGAGCCTCTTGAGGTGCATAGATTCTTGTATGCCCCCACGACACCCTGGATTCTTATGTTCCTGCTTGCTGCATATTTGCTTGCCACTCATAGGTACACTAGTCACGACTGGGCACCTCAATTGCTTACAAAGGTGAATACTGCACATGTATCTCCTGACATATAAAGAAGTTTCCACAGTGATTCCCTGGTGGAATAAAACTTTTCCAGTTCCCAGTTCTAAACAAAAACGGTGCTCAAGTGCGGCAGTGTTGTATTGAGAACAGCGCAATAACACCAGTTGCAGCCTGGGCGGCACTCGGCCTCAGATCGCTCGTTCCGGTCGGAGGCTTGGGCTTACCTAATGTATTGGCCGCACAGGGGCTTTTTATAAGTGAACCCTGACCTCGGTATGACGTGTTGCCATCCTGGCGCACATGGAGCCAAAATGGCGCCCTGTGTGATTGGCGCGTGATCGGCGCTCTGTGAGGCGCATGATGCATATGACGTACTCAAAAACTGCACTTAGAGTTTGCGAATATCTGACAGTTTCTGGAACAGCAAACTCTCTACTAAACTGCCCAAGAGCAGGAAAATGTGCAGGGATCGACAATAGACCCCTACTCTGCTGCATCTTCGCGAACGACTTTATTCCCTTCGCAGAGGGTGCATTCGTTGCGCAGTATGCGGACGACAGCCAAATCCTAGTGAGCGCCAAAAAACGTCATTTTCAAACTGTTGTCAGGGAGATGAAACATGTCCTGGCCTCTTCCGATGTTTGGTTTCACGCAAGCGGTCTGAAGTAAGTACTGAGAAGACCCAGTTAATGTTGTTTGGAAATCCCAAGATCCGTGCAGGCCCCGATCTTTTTTGTAAACTTTCGTGGGCATGAATTATCCCCCTATTCGAAGGTGAAAAATTGAGGACTAGTATTTGATCCGTCTTTCAGCCGGAATTCCCACGTCTTTTTCGTCATTCGTCGCTGCTTTGGTCCTATCTCTGGTCTACCAGATCTGAGGAACTACTTGCCTCTTATCGTCGTATCCACACTGTTGAGCACAGTGGTCCTCTCGCAGATCCAAAGCTCCGGTTCGGCTTATGGGAATGACACTTAAACGACATCTAGCATCCAAAAAGCCATGAACCTTACAGCAAAAGTAATCTTGGGGTGTAAAACTCGATCGCGTTTCTGATCTGCTGGAGAAACTCGCCTGACCTTCTACGGACGGCCTCGTCAAATATCGTACGTTAACGCTTTTACACAGGGTGCTACGCTCTAGTAAGCCAGAAGCGCTGACCCGTGAGTTATGGGAGGTTTCTCAAACAGGGCAGACGATGGACATTTTTTGTCCTTACGTCACGCACCGAGACTTGTCCGTCCCGGTGGCTCAGTTGGTTAGAGTGCCTGCATTCCGACCCACCCATCCGTGGCGGGGTGGGTTCGAGTCGCTTTAGGGCGCTCGCTATTTGCCCTTGGCAGGTGCGGCCGGTGGCAGCGGTCGCGCTAAAGGTCAGTTGACGTCAGAGGGCAGGGCGGGCCGTGCCGAGCATTGCGGCAAGTCAAGCTTTCGCCTCTAAATTCTGCCGTTGCCTGGAACTGCGCGATCGGATGGTGGGGGTCAGGGCTCATACAACAAGCACTGCTTAGCGTGAGTGCTGATCACAGAAATCCATCCATTCAAAGGATTCGGACCAAATTTATAAAAAGGCGGGAGGGAGACGCTTGTGTTGCCGAGCTGTCATCCAGTATAACTCCCTTCCCCGTCACCTGGCAGGACTCCCTGGTGCAAGGTTTGGCCGTGCACTGAAGCACCACTTACCACTTTGACATCCACCCTGACCACGGAATGGTCCGAGCCGTGTATGCATGCGCAATCGTTTGTATTTGTGTGCATGTTTGTGAGTTGCGTGTTTGCGTGCGTTTGTGTTTCTTGATGTGCATGTTTGTGAGTTGTGTGTGTGTGGGGGGGGGGGGGGGGGGGTGCGTGTGTGTGTGTGTTTGCTCGTGCAGCAAGTGACACCATGTTTTAATGCTGTGACGACGTACTTGAATAGCCACGAACCCATCGTGAATAGTCGAAACACACGTAAGTCGCGGGTCCACCGCGAGTGGTGCTGATAAATAATTACATATAGTGGTGCTGATTAGTAATTACTCTGTTACACAAGGCAGCATGAACCAGCCGACCTGAGAGCGGCACCTGAAGCACAACACGGTACGTTGCTGTTTTGGGAGAGGAGAGTGAGCCGTCGCACACTGTTTCTGCACGTAGGCACTTACCGCGACCAAGAGCGAACCTGGGAGAGGTCCATCCCTGGTTGTCAGTTGGGGACCAGCCAAAAGGGTTGACCCTTACCTGCCCTCAAAACCTGACGTCTCCTCGGATTTGGGGTACTTAAATTTGCTTCCTCGATGCAATTTTTCAACAACAAAAAATTCATATCATCAAAATGTATTTCCTGCGGAGGAATGACTTCCCATTTCAAGTTAAGGGGAGCCCCCTTTTTGTGAAAAGATCAGAACGGGGTGTAATTCACAAAAATGTATCGGTAAACCGCGGTAAGGGATCGCTGATGACCACCGCTGTCGCTGATCATGTTGTATAACCGCCACAGCCAAGATAATGCGATAAATGCACTTGCCGCTGTTGGGTGAAAACTTGTGTTAACTTTCATCAGAGTCGTTGTTGACTTTTAAAAGCTACCGCACATGGCAGTTAGTTGCCCTTTATTCTAATCCAGGCGCTATCTTTTGAAAAACTTGTCAAACATTTGCTCGCTGGTTTAACATATCAGGGAGTTAGCATAGTTAAAAACATTTGGTACCCACAGGATGCTATTTAACACCAAATATTAATGATGCTAATATTAATGTTGTTGAGTACCCATTACCTGGTACGCCAATGTTAACACAATTGTTCTGCATTTATTTGGCACAGCATTCCCTCTGCTCATATGCATTGAGGGGGCTCAGGGGAGCATTGGAGGGACACAAACCAGCACTGCGGGGGGGGGGGGGGGGGGCTCAGACGCCCTGCGAGTATATCAGATGACTCCTCTCGACGCGCCACCTGATAATTGGTTGGACCACTGCCAATAATGGTAAACATGAGCCCCTCATTTCTAAACTTTTTTTGTGAGCTCACGAAAGCAGCCCGTCACTTTTTTGCAATTCGTTTGTACGGCGAACGCAGCAGCGCTTTGCGGGCAACCAGAAAACGTAATTTGGTGGCAGTATTCGCCTACGCTTCCCTCCCCACAGAAATGTGACGGTGCATTTCTGCGTAACTATGCAGTACCAATGCCTTCTCATGCTGTTTTTTGCGTGCCGTACGCGTGTGCACCGGTGCCATTGCCGACATGCAGATCTCCTTCTGTGTGGTCAATGGAACACCTGCGTTGAACCCCGCCGACAACAGCCCAGCTGCTACGTGGAAGGCTGTGGTGCCGCTGTGTGGCTTCTTTCTTTTGTTGACATACAACAAAAGAAAGACCCGACAACCTCAGCAAGACAACGGCCGACAGTGATAAGCAGATTTCTGTCCGGTATTTATACGCGTGCGGCTCCAGCTAATCTCAGTGTACCAGGAGCCGCAATGACAGCATTCTTGGCGATCGTTCTTCTGGGCGTGGCCGCGGCCAAGCCGCCGCCGTCTCTGCTGCGGAGACCACCGCCCTCCGCCCAGGACGCCAAGTCTCTGGAGCCCGTACCTTTTGACCATGGGCTAGGCTTTGCACGCACTTCTCTGTCTTGTGGTGCCCACACTCTGGCTGCGGGAACATACACCATCACGTCACCGAACCATCCTTCCAACTACGGAAACAACTACGACTGCGGCTACAACCTGACGCCGGGCTCGGGCGTTGGAAGTCTTTCCATCACTTGTTCTGCGTTCAACATCGAGTCTCACAGCTCCTGTGTGTGGGACTGGCTGCGTGTGAACGGAAACAAGTTTTGCGGTACCCAAGGCCCCTCTGTCTCCAACAGCCCGGCCCTGACCATTGACTTCCATGCCGACTACTCGGTGGTCAGGAGTGGTTATTCCTGCACCATTACAGCCGCGTCCGGGTCGGGGGTCACGACTCAGGCTCCTTCGGGCAGCTGCAGCTGCGGCATGGCCAACCGCGCCTCCCGGGTGGTCGGCGGCGTCGAGGCCGAGGTCAACGAGTACCCGTGGCAGGCGGGCCTGGTCAGCCCCGGCGGGACCCGCACCTGGTGCGGCGGCAGTCTCATCAACGACCGGTACGTGGTGACGGCGGCCCACTGCACCAGTGGCAAGTCGGCGTCGGGGATCCAGGTGCTGCTGGGCGACCATCGTATCAGCGTCGCCGACGGTGAGTCGCGCCACACTGTCAGCCAGATCATCGATCACCCGTCCTACGTGACGTACAGCCAGGGGTACGACATCTCCCTGCTGAAGCTGTCCAGTCCGGTGACGTTCAACAGCCGGCGGGCGACGGTGTGCCTGCCGACCGCCGGCCAGACGTACGCCGGCGCCACGGCCATCGCCACCGGCTTCGGCCAGCTCGGCGCCTCGCGGCCGCAGGCCACGGAGCTGCAGGAGGTCGAGGTGCCCGTCCGCTCTGAGGCTGAGTGCAGGACCTCGTGGAGCTTCGTCACCGGCACCATGATCTGCGCCGGCGGCCTGCCTGCCGGCGGTAAATCGGTCTGCATGGGCGACAGCGGCGGTCCGCTCGTCACGCTGGAGAACAGCAAGTACGCCCTGATCGGCGTCGTCTCGTTCGGCCGGCCGTGCGCCGTGGCGAACACGCCCGACGTCTACGCCAGGGTGACCGCGGTGCTGTCCTGGATCCAGAGCAGCACGGCGGATGCCACCTACTGTAGCTAGAGTGCGGCGGTCCGCCCGCCCGACGGCCTGAGCTGACGGGCGTCTCTACAACTGCACTTGCCTGACGTGTATTTCGTCAAGAATGAACGTAGGCCATAGCTATGGGGTCCTGTCTTGGTTTTAGTGTGCCTTTCGTTTCGCTGTAGCATGGAACGGTTTCATTTGTCGGCCTGATTGTCTTGAAATAGGTTTGCTTGCTTGCTTGGCTAGCTTGTTGGGGTTCAGACAGCTTTGTATAACCTGTATCTATTACGTCTCCCCCGTTGACGTTGAAAATATAAAGTTCAGCTTTATGTTTTGGGAAGAGAAGAAACCTTCAAAGGTCATTTTCCGCTACATCCAGCAACGCAACTCAGTTGCCAATCTTCACGCCAACAACTCTGTGGTCTGCTAGACTGAAGATCATATACTACAAACTAATAAGCCTCCCCCCCCCCCCTCCTCCAAAAACGGCACAAAACACTGTTCATGCATTAACACGCGCTGGGCTGGGTGCAGTTTGAGCCTTCCCTCCGAAGATGGCTCCGGAACAATTTGCTAACCACGCGGAGCAGCCGCGCCAAATTTGGCATAACTGGAGACAATTGAATCGCGGATGTTTGGTGCCAAAAACTGAGATTTACCTTCTGAGGTCGCTGATCTACGGCTTCAGTGAAGATAGTTTCTAGGGAATCGCTCAACCTGATCCAGCAACGGAATGTTGGAGGAAGGCATGCATCTCTGAGATAGTTTCTTAGGTAACACAGCAGTTGGATAAACAAATTCCATTTATCTGGGATTAGGTATGAAGGTCAAATCAAGGTCAAAACCAGCCTGTTTTTATTGTACAGCTTGCTGTATACGGTGAACTTTTGCGCTCATTCTGAATTTATTGATAAGCCGAATCATGCATCTTATTTGGACTTTTTAAAAGTCAGAATAGTCCGCTGACTTCAAATGACCCCGATCAACATTTTGTTTTAAGCAACATGCCGCCTGGCGCAATTCTTAACGATTATTCAAATGCAAAATCTGAGCAGTATTTTGTGATCTTGGTCACCATGGCCCTCGAAAGGCAAACTAAGTCACTGGCTTAAAATGAGCGACAGCAATCTTTTGCTTAGAACAGGTATCTAGGTGCACGGTGGTTACATGAGATCGTCTGGGAGCACTTTAGACACCAATCTGGAGTTTGATCTTGTTTGACCTGATTTGACCCGAGTGTCATCACCTAGGAACTTCCAATTATGACACAAGTGAGTTCACGTAACGTTCAACAAACGCCGTGAATTCTAAATATCTAGCCTTCTTAGTTCTTGAGGCCTCAGGGGGTCAAACCGACTTAAGAAACCGAAGGCGCCATTTGCTTAATGAATCAAGGCCTCGGAGTTAACAATTTTAATGAACGTAATGTTAAAAAGAATGTTTCACACAGCCTAAAAACACCAGCAAGCAGTGCCAACACGTGCGACTCACGCAGTCCTTCCGTGCCATACAGCCCTTAAGCACAGTGCCGATGTGCTGCTACACACAAGTAAGTACCCCGCCCGCATGTTAGCACAGACTGGAGTACAGACTGCTGACGCTGCTAACACAGACTGGAGTATACAGCGCAGACACAGAGGACACAGAAGACAAGGCACAAAAGGGTCAATAATTCGTGTTAACATGGCTCGGCCATGTTAGTCTGGAAATGTAACACAAACAGTCGGAATTGATTAGTGAAGCAAATTAATAACGCAGTTTTGAGCGCGCGAATCATGGCAGCGAAATCCTCGATACTAGGCATTGCTGTCTCCGCAGGCAGTACAGCATCGGTCTCGCAGCTCATACTGAGTCGTGGTCAATGCGTGGACGAAAATGATGACGCATTTTAAACAAGCATCTTTTAACGCTGTAGGACATCAAACTGCGCATTTGGAATGTAGTGCAGGTGTACCTGTCAACCTGTGATGTTTAGATTGGCGATAAGAACGGATTGGCCTTCGCACTACCACGAAGTGGTGCTGGCATCTGGTGGTAGAACTGGAGGACTAAAAGAAGAATCTGCGTTTGTCGTGTTTCTGTAACTGTTAATCCTCAAAGTTGTAAAACAGATACGCTTAGCTTCATCTTTAACGGCATGAATTAATATTGAAAAGACATTCGAGACCATTATTTTACGACGGTCGTTCAGGAATGAAAAAAGCTTTTGATTTACCAGATGTGATCGGTGACAAAAACAGACACTTTTGTGGGCCAATTTGAGACAAAATTGCGAAAATCGCAACAAATTACAACATATCAAAACCATATTGCAACAGACCATCCCAGCTATACGAAGCTTATAGCTTTGTATTAGTCAGTACTCGCAAACGCTAGCGTTAACGCTCGCAGTGTGAAAATTTCGCCCGTCGCAGTGCATGACTTGCTTGCCGTTCGCAGTCGGCATTGTGCGCACAAGCGGGAGGGAGCGCAGGCGCCGCCCGTGTATGGCGCGGGCCTCAGTCGCACCCGAAACCTCGGAGTGGTTGGTTCGAAGATCTACCGCCAGGCGGCCGTCACCCGGGCTGTCGGCTACGCCGGTGCTGGAGACGCGGCCGGCCGCTAGGTGTCGGGCGCAGTCCTACTAGGCATGCCAGGTGCCGCAACTCAGTGCTGCGCGAGGAAGCCAACGTCCGATCCCAGCGCGGGCACGATGTGAGACGTGATGAACGGTTTCTCAGGGTGCTCCGCACCGCCGTGGCATTTCTGGGGCAGGCTCTTGTGGATGGACCAAAGACGGTGGGACTCCGCGGCCTTTACGTAGGATTCCTTCATATGCATCTAAATGTATGTAATCAGTGTACCGGGTCACATAAAATGTGCGTTCGTAATTGTCTGCTAAAGCAAATTCCAAGGCAAAGGTCAGTGTTTGGGGTATAAAGTAATCGGATCAATTCAAGTAGTGTTTGCTCAAGTAGCGTGCGTAAAAACAGGTGCAGTGAGCTACCTTTTCCCTTCCTGCTGTGCTTTGCCGGGGCTGCTCGGCGGTGAACGCCAAAAGAACTCTTCCGGGCCCGCACACCCATACCGTGTGACAGGCAAAGCAAGTGTGCATTAACCTGAACCGCAATGCATTGCTACGCGGTGATGCACGATTGTGATTAAACACAATGATGGCCAGTTGGAGCAATGTGATATTTCGCGGTAACGGCTGGCGCGACGCGCTGGAAGACGGCGCGAGAACATAGCATGTGGAGTGCATGTCATGTACGTATCGAAACACTGACGTCTCGTTGTATGAACAAATTGAAGCACAATGTATTGTCAAATATGGTAACTTTAATCAGGATAGCTTTTAGGAGGTGACAGAAATTACTATCAATTACGGTAGACTAGTACTGACGTCACAGATCACGTCACGGTGGCGACGCAGTACTTTTCCAATGCCCTCAGATCAGTGCTTTCCATAGATTTTTCAGCCAGGATTCACTTAACACACTAAACAGTATAAAATGCCAAATAGCTGGGCTGATTACTATCCGTAACAATCGTAGCTGGCCACAGCATCTTGCGGCGGACGTGATCAGCTTGCTACGCGGCGTCTTAAAGCGTCATGTTAAAAGCCCTGCCGATTTAGGAGGGCTGTTGTTTCTGGATACCCGAACTGTAGCCCTAGAGGTTAGCAAAAGAAGTTGGAGCGACACGCGTCAACGATTCATTCGGAGCCTTCTGCTGCTTAGGGGAACAGCGGTCTTGAGGTAAGATGCCGAGCATCACTAATGCTGGCCTCACATTGGCCTTCGGACCGCAGATTTGGCGTTCTGATAGGTGGACGGGCGTGAGATGAAACGCATTTGATTGTCATCACTTTTGTACAAAGAGGTGAATTAAGGTGCTAGAGTTGTTAAGAAATGTCGGTTACCTTTGTTGATAACAGCATTGCATGAGTTTCGCACTGATTAATGGCGATTCTGTTGAAAGTGGGAGTTCTGCAAAGGCATTGATTACATGAAGAAAGTGAAGGTCGGCAACGCTTACAGTTGATTGTATGAAGATGTCACAAAACCAGAAGTGATGTCGTTTTCAGGTGCTTTTAGAGTCATATTATAGGTAAATGTAAGGTCACAAGCATGCAATTTTGCACAAAAAAAGCGTAGAGGTGAGCGGGGGAGGGCAGGAGGAAAAGTGGCTGAGTCAGCCTCCGAAATTCATTTAAAATAGTTTTTTCCCCAGCTTTGATGCACTTCCTTTTCAGAGCTGATAGAAGGACTGTAGTTTTTCCAAATTTGTTTTGAAGCTGAACCCTAAAAATGATAATGAATGAAAAAAAGAAGGTGAAAAATTATAGATAAAAATAGCAAACTTCATCCTCAGTCAGAAGGCACAGTCCCCCCCCCCCCCCGCCAAACTGAATAGGAAACCACACACCTCTTGGTTGGCTACGTTAAGTACGCCCGTATCGAATAATTTCATGAGTCAAGTTTCAAGAACTGCGTTTATTTAGCCTCGACCATTGTTCATTGTTTGGTGGCCAGCAAATGACACTCATATGCAAATGAAATCCCAACACGAAAATGTTCGGTGGTTATACCTCATTGTAGTTTGGCTGCCTTTGCTTTTGTGGTGTATCGCATGAGTTATATTGCAATGGTTTCTTAAACATTAAACATTAAACATTAAACATTTGCCTCCAGCTGACAACTTAGACGGCTCCAAATTTCATCGGTGACAGAAAAGGCATTTCTTCACCCTTGCGGTCGTCCTCGCGCGCACGGCGCCTGCCGCCTGGCGTCACTCGCAGTGGCCGACGCCGTTCGGATTTACGAAAACTGCGGAAGCCGTAGCTGTCCTTAGTCCTGACATTGTGGGCGCGCATGCTCAACCCTTTCGATGTAGTTTGCTTTATTAGTCGATTCTGCACAAGAACAAACGTTTTCAGACAAATATGGCACGACTTCATTCGTTTTCGAACTGATTTCGACCCAATATACTCAACACTAATAAGACCCCTTATTCGTTTTCTGGTCGGGAGTTCCCTTGAGTAGAACGCTAGGGGACACCTTATTGCTTCAGGTCAATGGCTGAAGGGCCATTTCGTCCCACCGCGGGGTGTCTTCCGGTTGTCATTCTAGCGACAGGGGCCGGGGCACCCTGGTCGATCCGGAGGTCCATGTAGGGGTACATCACATCATATCGTTTCATTCCCTGACTCGGGAGCCCTTCTGAT